ATCCTTTTAATTAAAGGAAAAAAAATAACAGGATATATTATAGTAACCCACTTTGATTTTCCATTACCTCGATTTAAAGCCCTGTATTACTCTCACCATCTGGTTTTTAACTGATGTTCCCCTATTCTGTTTTGCTGGATAGTATCAGGTTCGAAAATTTAGGCATCAGCTGTGAAGATAATGAGATTCATTATAACGCCCATTCTCGTTGACTTTTATCTACTTTTGAAGACCTACAATGTCTCCAATGGTTTGGTTTTGTCGGTTTTGTTCTTTACTGTTTTGTTCAATTGTATTATAACTAATGGTATAGGCAATTCTATTAGAGATAGAGGGAGGCATTATGGTAACCATTGTTGATCACCTTGTATTATGTTTTCACATTATCTATTATGTCCACCCTTTTGACTTGACCGATTCTGTTCTGTTATGTCACATTTGGTTTTACTCTCTTCCAAAAAAGTAATAAGAACTGTGAGAGCAATGAAACCCAAAATGTGTAATAGTCATTGTACAAAAGAGAGGAAAAGAAAGTGCTCTAAACTATATAACTGCATGTATATTTAAGTGTATAAGATAGAATATGATATCACAGAGTTTTATTGGATCATTGAACAGAACTGTTTGCAGTATCATTGATGGAATGTCCACTTTACAAGCTTTAATTTTGTGACTTGAACAATTATTTCTAAGATGACAATATGTAATCCATTAACTAGTAATTTCCTACTGTTCATTTTTTTTCTGCAAATCTGTATAACTTGTACCCTTTCTCTGCTTTTTTTTTTTCTCCTTAAATAAAATTAAAAAAAAAAAAAAAAAAAAAAAAAGAAAAGCTTCACTGCGGATCTTAGATCATTAGGAAGGTTCCCTGGAATGAACTCATGGCGTTACCTCGAAACAATGAGGAAGCCTTTCACTGACATCCATATCCTAATAGTACACTGATCAGAAGGATTTAGTCTGCCACGACCAGATCCTTCTGTGTGTTTATTGCATCCACTTTCTTCTGTAGATGGAGAAACCAGCATGGCAGAGTTTTAATTTAGTATTATTCAGTGTACCGAGTAAGTGTCAATAATTTGAGAAGCCCAGCAGGATAGTATGCAGAACACATGCAGGGTATGGAATTGCCTATTGAAATGGAAGAAATTCGAATTCTACAGGTATCATTTAATTTGATGTGAGCAAGTAGATGTCTTCAGAAAAATAGCAGTCAATTGCCAAGTGGGACTGTACCTATGCAGTGGTCCAATTGTCTAAGAAAATACAACTCTGGAAAGTTGATTTTGAATACAATAAAAATTCACAATAGGCTTCTGTTGCAAAAGGAATCAATCTAACTTTATAGCATGATTCTTAAAACACATAAAAGAAGCCTTTGGCTTTTAGTACAGGTGATGAGGACTTTAAAGCCTGTGATTGTGTTGGATTCAATGCATAAGTACAAGATAGACCTGTGGGGTGTGATTCTCAGATGTGGCATTTTAAGAGGAGCTAAAATTTGTCCCCAGCTCTGCTGACATTAAATATATAGGTACTTGTAGGTACAGAAACATTTCTGTCATGAGTCCTGCCTGGAATAATTTTTCCAAAATAGAGACCATCTTGCTTTCCTACTTCAAATAATTTTGTTGGACAAGACCAGCCCACACGTTAAAAATTAACATCCAAACCCTTCACTGAGTGAATTAATCTCAGCATCTTTCTGGAACTGGGTCAGGATTCACCCAGAGGCTTTTTACAGACTTTGCCTCTCGGTAACAGCTTGAAGCCCTAAGTTGTGCTCAGAACCTGTTCATGGCATAAATTGGGGCTGATGGCAGAAAGCCTCTTGCCTGGGGTCAGGAGTCCCCTCCACGCGGCTTGCCGATTGTGTGATTCTTGACTTCTGACTTGGACTGGCCTGCCTGTGTCTTTTCCACGTCTATTTTTCATCCCTGGAATCACCTGTCCTTTCCTTCTGCTCTGGCTAAATCCACTCAAGCCTTCCCCTTTCCTGTTTGGATCACAGAGGCTTTTCTGTTGTAAGTTGGGCTCCTGGTCAGATCTTGGCCTGGGTCTCTCCTCTCTGATTCCCTGTGTGCCCTAGAGTGACATTTACTTAACAGAACCCTCCCATGCCCACATTTTCCCTTCTAGTGAATTTGGAACACGTTACTGTTAAAACCAGTCATAGCATCAGTCTGTGTGGTCAGGACTGGGAGTTGGTAAATTAAACAGTTAATTGAAACATAAAATCATAAAAGTGATATCTACACATCTAAGCATTTTATTTGAACTGAAAACATTTTAATGTACATTTCTTTACCTGTCTTTTGAGGAAATTCCAAGATCTCTCTGATTAGAGCTTGAAGTGTTTATAGTGTTTCTATCCTTTCTAGGCTTGGTTTCAAATTCTTCTGGTGGAGGAGGAATTTGTAGAAACTTTCAGATCAAAACTTTTATGATACTTTCAATCTTTTAAATTTTTCTTGCCTGTACTTAAACTGATCGCATCTTTACTCAGTGTAACACTTTGCTTTTATCAGGCTTTGCAAAGCATTTGTTTTCATGGGCATGGCTCACTTTACACATTATTATGTCACTGCTTTATACAACAGGCATTACAGTATATGACTCTAGTAAAGAGCAAGATTGGAAACAGCTTGGAGAACAAATGTGATTGATTCTTGGTAAATGCATACCTCAGCTGGTAGGAGCAAAGGTACAAAAAGCAAAAGCATGCCCTAGAAACAATGAATTGGTATTCAAAGTCCTGTGAGCCTCCTCTGGGATGCTCTAAAGAAAGACTGGAGAGCATTAATTGAAGAGGCATCGGAAATCTGGGGTGGCCTCTGCTCAGCAATGGCACAGAGCAGCAAGGGCACATCCTTTCAGTGCTCAAACTGCAATCCAAAACCCACTTATTTGTCTCAAAGTGGCAACGCTGCAGTTAAACACGAAGATCTGGTGCTCTGGGCTGCCGGGGTGACTTGGCTCATTTACCAACAGAGTGGGCTCCGAATGCTTGTAGTGCCACGTGTGCCACAGATTTGCCACCACTGGTACGGAGCATCTCCTGGCTCAGGCAGCCAGCAATCAAGACCTCTCTCTTTTAGTTTCATGTAGCAAAAGATCTGATTGGATGATGGCTGTGCTACACGGTTAATTAATGTTGCCAGGGATATCAGGTGCTGTATGTTTGATATACTGCATATATCTCCTTAATGGATGTGTCCCCCCCACCATGCGCCCTTGGATTCTAGAAAAGTGCCCATTGTAAATGCTCATTTGCATGACACTGGCACCTCAAGCTCAGCACAGTCAGTTCTGCTGTAATGCTTCTTTTGAAATTGTGACTCTGTCCCACTGTGATGGATACATTAGAGAAACTGGGCACTGCATTCATTTTACCTTGGCCTTCCAGCAATTTTGCCTGTAGGAAACCCCAGGTGAGTAGGGAACAACGCAGTAAGCTGGGTCACCTAGAAGTACACGGGGTGAACACAAAGTCTACCACTGAGTTTATTCCAGGCCTTTCCTAATGTCATTCTCTAGAAGCTGAACAGTGCCGGTCCTCCAGTTGTTCCTTGTGTGGTATGTGCTTTAAGAACTTAACTATACAGATCTTCTCTTGCAAGGATTCTAAGTCTGCTTTGAGATGTAAATCTGGGCTGTAGAGCACAGAATGAATGTAATACTTTGGACACAGTCCAGCAGAGGTGATTTAAGTCCAGGCCACCTTTTATCTGGGTACTGAGTTCAACTAGTCCAGCCCAAAGCTCCTTGAGCTGATTTCTGGCACCAATATTGATTCAGGCCTTTCTCACATGAATGTCTAATTAATCCACCCATGTATCATGGGCTGTGAGTTTATAAAGTTGATTGAATCTAAATGTAGAACTTGATTTTCATTTATGTTAAATTCTTCTTCATAGTTCCTGGGGCATCTGGCATGGTTAGTCCGTAAATATTTGTCAAAATGAACACTTTGCATTTTGGTTTAGGCTGCTCGATACACTTAGCAAAAGTCCTTTGAATTTTCACTGATTTTATATTCTGTAATACTTAAACTTTCTTATTTTAGAAAGTGATTTGAAATGAGAACTTTGATTCTGCATTCTCTCCCAGCTTTGTGTTTCTCTCGAGCACACATATACCCTGCGCCTGTATCTGTAATTTCTGGGAGCACGCTGATCTGATGCCTCAGCCTGCTCCTGTAAGGAGCGAAATACACCTGGCAATGTCAGTGTTAACCATGTGAATGGTTAGCAATCTAGAAGCAAAAACAAGGGCTTCGAGGGGTAGTTGTAGGAACCATGAATCACATTTTCATGGAAAGAGTCACAGATGCAAGTTCTATATGGAGCTGGAGATGTGTTCACCCGGCACTGTGTCAGGTCCCAGCTGACCCACGACTCTCCGGATTGGAAGTACAGACTTGAATCTCACATTTCTGTAGAAACTATCATGCTTTTCTCAAAGAATTTTAAAACGTGTTTCGAATTGACTGGTTCAAGGATCCGTTCATGAACTCACAGGGGAAAACCCTAAGGTGGCACCAGCAGTGGAATGGAACACTTTCGGGGCCAGGAGTCCCATCGGCTTCTTTGTGCTGATGGTCTCATCACCCAGGGACCGGGCATAGCTTTCCAAGAGCTGATCCACTGGTCCCCAGTGTGCTCTTTTCCGCAGGTGGAGGAGGCTGAGGCAAGGTGGCCTTGGAGGGAAAAAGGGGCAGTGACGATTGTGTTTTCTGGCAATTTTCTTTTAATGCTGTGCTTCAAAACCTGCAAGAGTGATTGCACATAACTAGCGCTCTCTCAGGAGGTCTGCGCCCACTGGCTCTGCAGAATTAATCTATTCAGTGCCTTCTGTAGAAAAGGGGCACAGTGCCGCCCAGAGCAGAGGGGCGACCTTCAGGAACAAAATGACCTCACTGGGGCAGTGCCACAGGCGGCGAAAGGCTCCTTCTTGTTTATTTATTGACCTATTTCTTTATTTCCAGGAAGGGAAGGGAGGGCAGGAGCCCCATGCTCTGCTCGTGCTAATCTTTTTCCTTCCTTTTCTCCCTCAGGAAGGAAGCCATCCAGGCAGCCAGGAGGCTCCTACCCCGCTTCTTATCTCCCAGCAGAGCCTGCACTGGAAATGAGATTCAGAGGCTGGACCAGGAAAGGCTGTTGTTCCCTTAATGGAGCAGCTCCCCTTTGAAGTCCTGTCTCCCCGTGGAGCCCGGAGCTGGCGGGGTCCCCCAGCCCACGTCACCCGTATGTAATCTCTTGCACACCAGAAGCAGATGTTCCCTGGCATGGAGCTCTTTTGAAAGGTCTTTAATAGGATTTCTCAGCCTTCCACATGCCAGGCAGACAGGGGAGGGACGGCGTTCAGAGAAATCACTGATCAAAGATTTCAAGAGGGTAGTACTCTGCTCCTTTTCTGCTGGATACTCCTCTGTCAGGATTCTGCAGGGTTTTTTTTGGGGGGGGGGGCTGTTCTCAGCACCCCCAAAGGGGACTCCCTGAGGCTTTGCAACTCTGTTCCATTTCCTCAATCCATGGCCATGGGCATTTTTTGTTTTCCTGGATCCACTTGGTGTCGTTGGAGACACAGGAGTTGCTCGGGGCTCTGGTGGGATGCCCAGTCCATGCAGCGAACACCTCACTGGCAGCTGACTGTGGGGAAAGGGGGCTGGGATATAGCTCAGTGGCACAGTGCCTGCCTGACAAGCGTGAGGTCCTGACTTCGATTTCTGGTGCCCACTTAAAAATAAAAATAAATAAAAACCAACTGAGCTCATTCAGCAATGGAGTGGAGCTCTAAGCTAAGGGTGGCATCAAATATAAAATACGATTGTCATGGGACTCAAATGATATAAACATGAAGATCCCCAGGAACAAATATTCTGAAGGGCTCAGAAATGCTTATGATTTGTTTGTTAAAGGCAAAATAAAACTTAAGGATGTTTGTGTACCAGAGTCCTTTTGGGTCAGATGTACCCTGGCTGGGACAGAGACATGAAACTGAGAGCTTCATGTAGGAGTGCGCACCCGACACAGTAACTGACGTCTGCTGCGAATGGCAAAACGCTGAGCTGTCCACAGTGTCCTGTTTTTGGCTGTCCCTGCCCTGTCCTCTCCCCTCGCAGGGGCTGATTGCTGTGCAGCCTTGAAGCCCTTTGAAACGTTCTGGTTCTGACGATCATGAGGAAAGGCCAGCCTAGATCTTTAACCCAGGTAAGCTGCAGTTCTGTCTTTTGGAGAGTTTGTTATGGAATCATGACCCCCACGCACTGGAGAGAGTTTAGCTCCTTGTGAGCCCGTCTAAACCACCACAGAGAATAACACACAGAAGCACAAAGACAGCCAGGTGCTGTCAGCTGCTGCAAACGTTCCTGGGTGAAGTCATCCTTGTTGTGACCTGGACATGGGCGAAGTGTCCCCCAAAGGTTCCAACATTGAAAGTGTGGTCCCCAGTGTTAAAAGTTAGGGGGGCTTTTAAGAGGAAAGGCCTTTTGGGGGACCAGTGGGTCACTGGAGTGTGCTCTTGGAAAGGATTCAGGAAGACCTTGGGGACCCCTGTCTAACTTGGTTCTCTTGTCTCCCTTTTGCGTGTATTCTTACATTTGTGACACTTTAGGTTACGAGATCCTCACCAGAACTGACTTCTTGAACCTCAGGACTCTGAACTGAATAAACCTCTTTTCTTTATAAAGCATCCACCTCAGGCATTTCATTATAGTTATGGTAAATGGACTAGTACATGCCACGACTTCCACTACCGGGTGCTGTGCTCTACAACCCCTCAGGCCTCCTCTGCCACTTTCCATCCAGCTTCTCAATGCCTCACCACCCTTTTCCACCTCTCCCCTCTTTGTCCTTTGAAATACTTAGCAAAAATCCCAACCAGATCAACTTAGTGACTTAGTGAGACCCTGTCTCAAAAAAAATAAATAAAAGAAGGGATGGGTATGTAACTCAACTCAAAGGAAAGGTCCTGGGTTCAGTTCCCATTAACACACACACACACACACACACACAGTGAGAGAGAGAAAGATGTACAACAAGAACTCAGAAGATTCCAGATAATCATAATGGCACTTAAGAAAATGAGTAATGAATATTCTTTAGGTAATTTTTATTTTTTATTTGTGTTTTTTATACTAAAAATAAATACATAAGTACATAAATACCATCAATATTTTTGTAAGCGGGAAATTTAAGAATCTTTTTGTTGATTGTGAAATAAAAATCTCCAAGATTTGTTTCCTATAATCTCAGATCAATTCTCACTTGGCTGGTTATTTACATTAAGTATAAAGAATGCATTGGCCACAAGCAATTGTATTTCCTGATGTTGTGAAAACATACTTAGAACACAGGAGTTGAAAGCTTCATCGTGTGTGTGTGTGTGTGTGTGTGTGTGTGTGTGTGTCTTTCCTTCTTTTCCTCTTGGTGAGTTTCCTGCTTCCTGTTAAACCTTTGAGTAGTCAGAAAGTCTGGGCTTTGGAGTTATATAAATACAGATTATTCTCCATTCTTCAGATTATCCTCAAGCTTGCTGATTGCTGCTGCGACTATCTAGTAACATTTTTATTTCGGTTATTATATTTTTCAGCTGCAGACTTTCCACTCAGTTCTTTTTCATAACTTCTCTATCTTACCATTCTTTCTCTGATGAGATGTCACTATGCTTTCTTTCTTTAAGCAGGGTTTGCTTTAGTTCTTTGAACACCTTTATGATGCTGGCTTTGAAGTCTGCCTGTTACTTCTGACACTGGCCCAATCTCAGAACATCCTTGTAGCACTGCCCCCACCTTCACCTTCACCTTGTGTCTGCTTCACACTTTCTTCTTTCTTTACCTGTCTTATAATTTTTTTCTATGAAATTTATTGACTTTCCATCCTTATTCCTGGGGCTTGTTGTCATCTTTGCTTGTTTTTCATTTAGTTACTTAGCCAGACCATTTTACTGATGCCTATTTATCCCACAGTGTGAAGCCTTTGTGCTGCATTTTCCAAGATGCCCTTGAGTGTACAGATTCATCCAGGATGGCAGTAAATTTAGCCAAATCCTCTTTGACCCTCCTTCCCTGGTCCCTGTTCAATTTTCTGCCTCAGTTGGCATCACATCCAGCTTCTAGGCTACTTTAACTGTTGGTGGATTGCTGTATTATTTCCTGAAAATGCTGTGATGCATGAATCACTCAGCAGTCTGATCTAATTAAATTCAGACCCATTTTCAATTTTTATGACCCAAGAGAGATCTTTTCAGCTGTCTCTTTCCTAGTTCTCTCTGTTGAATGAGGTGGCCTATGGTTTAGTTCATTGCTCTTAATTATAAAGAGCAGATTTAGGCTTGAACTCCCTTATACTTTGGTACAAAGAAAGTCAATTTCTTTGGGGGAGAGCTTTGGAGATCTCTCTTCTTAGGAGCTTCCTTTCCCTCTTAAAGTTCTGAGCAACTGTCCTGGGCACTGGAGAAGGACAGTGCCTCGGATTCTCTTCGATTGCTTCTTCTAGGTTGGAACTTCTGCCCTGTGAATAAGCTGGGATGACAGTGGTCACAGCATTTGTGGCCTTCCAGCCTGGGGTGGAGTCCCTATCCTATGAGCACTAACCAGGTGATGGAAGAGAGCTCCCAACCTGTCATCCCACTCACCAGAAATTCAGCTCCATAACTCAGGCTGCAGGGGTTAGACGTGACCTGCCCTGGGAGGAGTGGCCACCCTGGGCTGGGACCGGGGAGAAGGGGGAGAGCTCTGTCTTGCTGGCAGCACCTGCCCAAAGCAGAGCTTGCACAAAGCTGAGCTCCAAGGGGAGCGAGGAAACTGATCACAGCTCAGATGTTACAGAATCCTTCTGTTCTTGAAATCAAACTTTAGGTTTTTCTACATAAGATGCTTCTTCATTTGCTCTCTGCTTTGGGGCACTTTCTAGATTTTAAATATTGTCAGCTATTAACATAGCTGATGGCCCTGTTCAGAAGCCATGGGCCTCATCACATGGCATCATGGTAGATTTGGGTCTTGATAGTAAACACTTCTGACAAATGGCAGTGAGGTGTCTTACACTAACAAACTCAGTGTGTGCCAATAATTTTCCATCAGACACAAGGTAAACATCTTGAGAAAGGGGATACTTTTTCTAATTTGCTTAAAAGCTCCTTGAGGTCAAGTGTTTACCTTGTGACAAAGGCCAGGCAATGGGAGGGTAATGACCATTGGTAGAGGAACTTGGGGGCAGGGCTGCTGTCTTTTGTTGAGCAGGCTGCTTACTGAGCAGCTGCAGGGGGTCACAGACTTACCTTTATTGTTGTATTCATGGTGAGTATCTCCTGTTTTCTCCTGATCCTCTCAATACTTTTTCTTTCAGTGTGTCCTAAGAAGATGTCCTTAATGTTCTGTCTCCAAGGGCTTCCTTGTTCCTTGCTTCCAGCTGGATTCAGAGAGCAGAGGGCACCAGGAATGTGAAGAAGGAATCTTTCTTACCCTAGCTGGACTGCCGTGGGTCAGCCACATCCCTCTCCTGGAAGTCACGGTTCTCATTAAGCAGCCTTTTCCATGTAAATACTGTTTTCTAGGTCGTGACAACTACACCCTGCCCTTGAACCCTCATGCCCAGTGGGTAGTAAAGGCTTCCAACTGTTACACATCCTGAGGTATTATGCTCTCCATTATTTGTTTCCCTAAATCTACCCATAACTCTGTATATAGTCCTTCCATTAAACTGTCCTTAAATTGCCCAATTCGAGCATACCATCTGTCTCCTGATGAGGCCCCAGCTGATAACTATGATTTCCTGCATCTGGCAACCCAGTATCCCAAGGATGGGGTGCCCTTTTCCTCTCGTGCATGTGAGCTCACTGTTTAGGGGTGAGGTGTGAAGGAGAGTGGTGGGGAGACTTGCGGGTGGCAGAGCTAATGAGAAGACAGCTGAGAAGTGTGATAGAAATTGAGGAACATGACCACGTGGACCACACTCTTCAAGAAAGGCTGTGCTGGCAGCAGTGTGTGACGCAGACCAAGATAAGGGGCAATTGAAGAAAGAGAGGCCAACCGGGCAGCTGCCGCTGTGTTCTGGGAATGCAGAGTCAGGGCTACAGGGAAGAGAATAGGTGCAGGGAAGACCTCACCCAAGGGCAGGCCGGAGCTTCCTGGCAGCTCGTGCTCGGGACAGAAGGAGAGCACAGGGTGGGAATCAGATATCACCACGGCACCTATGAGTAAACCAGAAAGTTGAGGAAGATGTTTGCTATAATGAGGATGATTAACTGCAGTTTAGATTTTTTTCGATGCTTCTTGAATTGTGACAGCAGAGTTCTAAGAGCCTAAAAATGTTAACTTGCTTAATTTCCCCCTTGGCTTTGCATTTTTATCTTCATTTTATGGGTGGGGAAACAGACACAGAGCGCTCCAGTGACTAATTCAGAGTCACACAGCAGGCAAGGCTCCTTCTCAACCTGGGTAGGAAATGGCCAGGGGTGGGGGACATTTGTCCCAGATCAATTTTTATCTTTACTATAGGTGTCCACCATGACAACCATAATTAACTTCTTAATTCCCATACATCTCAAATCCTTTCCTGCTCTTGCCTGGAAGGTCCTCACCATTCTCGCCCCTTGATGACAATAACTACCATGTGTTGGGTATTGATTATGTGCTGTCACAGTTTTGTGTGGGTGACACGCATCCATTCCGCAACCTTCACAACAACCCTACGAGATAGATGTCATTATTATCCTCGTCCACTAGAAGGTACACTGCAGGGAGAAGGGATTTCTCCCTGTTTTATTCAACACAACCTGCTGCAAAGATGTGTTGCATAAAGGAGTCCTACAAACGAGAGAACTGACCACAGCTGGACACAAAGGGGCACTTCTTGCGGCCAGTGGGACAGGGATTGGCTAAGATTATGGCTTCATAGCCCTGAAGATTCACTAAACTCAGCCCTTACTCCGATATCCCCTCCCTTGGGCAGTTGGAAGGGACCTGGATGCCGTGTCCACCTCCCCACGTCTCTCCTTCTGGCAGGAGCGCCAGCCCCATGGCACCTTCGAATTCGGTGCTGTCCCTCACAGCCCTCCTCCCTCTGCTCCTCTGCACCCCTGCCTCTTCTGTACTCATTTTGAATTCCCGGAATCCACTCTCAGCTTCCCCTTTCATCTCCAGAGGCCACTTTCTGACGGTGACACTGTCCAGGCCCCTTCCCCGGGCCCATTATGCTGTGTATGGAAAGACACCATTCAGGTTTCCACCTCCATCCAGCCTTTGATCTGCTCACAGATCAAAGAAATGCAGTGCCTGCTTCCTCTGAAACATGGATGTGAGGCAGGAGAGGCCAGGCTGGGCGTGGCCCACCAGCCCTCCTTGACTTCCCCCGTGACCACAGCAGGGAGAGGACAGTCTCATAAGGTGTATCTGACCCTTGTAGGAGCCCAGCGAGGGGCTAGCGTGAGTGTGCCCCTCAGTGGACTGATATTGCAAAGCCTGGACTGAAGCCATGTGAGCATTTGGCAAAGAGGACTTGCTGGGACTTCCCAGATGGCAGCAGACAGAATCAATGATCAGATTCCGTTCAACCCTGCATTCGTGCTGACCTGACGTGCCATGAAGGAAAGAGCCAGGGAAGTAAAAACTAATAATCCAGACTAAAACTAAAACTCTAGATTTTTCTTGTTGGAGGACTTAGGAATTTGTGTCTAAAGCCACGAGCTCATGAGGAAATCGGGTGTGATAGTTTATAAGCCTCAATACCATTTTCTCTTTGGGAAGAGACCAGTCCTCAGGAAGCCAGCCAGGCAAGGCAAATGGTCGGTCTCCTGTGGTCTCGGTTCGATTCCTGGCTCTAAGAGTTGGTGACTCATAACCATGGCGACTTCAGCCTGAGCCAGGCAGCGGCTTGGGGCTGGAAAGGAGGTCATTACTGTAGGTGACTAAACAGCTTCCAGCTGAGGTTGCGGAATCTGGTGCCGCTAATGAGAAAGATGACATCGACTTTTTCTTTTCCACACGCTGGCAGATTTTTATTCTCTGTGTGAAATAGCTGACTTGATGCTCCAGACATCAGGTTTCCACAGATGCAAGACTGTGGGTTGTTCATACTTGAAAGATCTCTGTGGATCGACTTCTCCATCTTCTCAAGTTGGACATAGGAACACTGACGCAGAGAGAGTAACTTACTCAAGGTGACATAACTTGCTAATCACAGCTTGAATTGATATGTCCGAGTCTAAGGTTTTTGCCATGGAAGTACAGAGGTGCCTGCATGGGCTACCTGGTCATTTAGGGTAGAAGAATCTGAGGACAGAGTGTTCCTTTGTGAGTGATGCTTTATTGACATTGCTTTTGGCAATATTCCGATACTCAGTGACACTGGATGCACGCAGCATCTCAATATCATCTAGAAAAAAATGGGAGAACAAAGACTAATGACCACAGAGCAGCTTATAGAGCTCCAGAGAGCTGGATCCTGCTGGCCACACCTTAAGAGGGGCTTCCTGTCCACTGCACATGGTCAGCCTGCTGTACTCACAGTCTCTATGGGGTGGACTGTGCTTGAGTATTTACATAAACAGAAAACTTCATTTTCCAGACTCTCCTTCCTCCCAGGGTGGGCTAGAGCTGGTGAGAAGTGTGGGGTTTTATTTATTTATTTACTTACTTACTTTTATTTTTTTTTGTTCTGGGAATCGAACTCATGACCTCATGCTTGCCAGGCAGGCACTTGTGCTGCTGAGCTAAATCCAGGGCCCCTGAAGTGTGAGGGTTTATTTATTTATTTATTTATTTATTTATTTATTGTCTTTTTCTTTTTTATCAGTACCAGGGATTGAACTCACGACCACACACTTGCAAGGCAGGTAGGTGCTTATACTGCTGAGCTACATCCCTAGCCCCAGGTGTGAGGTTTTAAAAGCAGGGGAAACACACTGACAGTTACCTTCTACAGGTCTTTGCAGGGATCTATATAGAGACAGAGGAACAGAGCTGTCCTTCCTCTGCAATCTGGTTGTGCCAGCAGCCCACTGAGCATACCACAAACACAGGCAGGCCGACAGACCTCCCCCAGACCTCTGCCCAAACCCCCGTCCCTGCCCTACTTTGGTCTCTGGCATGTGATTAACCCCTCTGTGTGACTGGTTCATGACTCCTCTTCCACACATTCCCTAGCTCACTCTCTGAGTGATTCATGTGGGATCTTCAAGAATCAAAAGACGCCAGTTCCCTCACCTTTCCCTGTATGTGGCAATCTGAAAGGAAATGAGGTGGCACAGGAGGGATCAGGAAGCTCTCTCATCCCATGCATGCAGACGCAAGTTGCCAGCACCTCCCTTTAAAACCTCCTAGGCACAGAAAGGACAATCTGTGAAATAAATCAAAATGAAGTCATTTCCGTGAAGTCCTAACAAAAAATAAATAAATAAAGCCAGATAACCATAAACAAGGAGACAAGAACTACCACTATCATAACCACAAAGGCCATCATAATCTTACCATCAAAAAAGTTCTGCCAAGATGTTTGCCCAGCAACTACCTATCCATCCTGGCCTCCTTACCACCCTTCTCATTTTTGTTGCAGTCAGGAATCAGTACTTAGAAACAAACAAGCAATAGTAGAACGTTGGTGACTGTTAGAGACAGACTACATGTATTTTGCATAAAAAGTTGCATGTAAGTCTTTTGGGGCCCAGGGGATATGTTCCCCAAAGCTCCATGTCCCCATAGATGGGACTTCTGAAAAGTGGCTGAATCACGGGAAATGTGAAGTTAGAAGCTGGGGTCTGTTTGGAAGCGGAATGGCCTGGTTGGATGCACCTCCCTCACCAGGACCTCCACTTCCGGGCCACCATGAGGTGAGCAGCTCTCCTCCACCAGGCCCTTCCCGCCTCCCTGCCTTGAGCTGGCAAACTACTAAATAAAGAAACAAAATAAACTCCTCCTCTTTCAAAAAAATCCCAACAGCTTACTTAATGTCCTTCATTTCAGCTTTAAAAACTATCCTTTGCCTTACCCTCCTTGAAAATGCACAGAGTTCACTCTGGTACACACGACTCCATGGCAGTGCTGCTCCTAAGTAAACTCACTCTTTCAAGAATCTCCATTATTTTCGTGGACATTTCTAACTCTGACAGCAAAGAACAGCGAAAGGAGGGGGTGACAGCCACCCATCCTCGTGGCCTGCCCACCAGGACAGCGCATCCATCACCCAGGAGCCTTTCCTGAATCTCCCCTGCCCTTCTGTCCTAAGCCTCCCCTCCCCGAGGGTCCGAGCTGGCTGCAGGTCTTCAGATGTCCCAGAGGCAGAGAGCGAGTGGCCTCCTTAATCGATTCTGACAGATCCTATTTCCAGTCCCTTCCGGGACCAGATAAGTTGTGAAAATCAATCTTACGAGGATGATAATTAACTGAACTTTGGGAGCCCCTAGGAAAGATATCATTTGTAGTTTTTTGCATTATTTTTCACTCCATCATCTAAAGACATGACATGACAGTGGGGAGAAAGTTGGAACACCATTTGAATGAACTTCCTGGTGTCTACAAAAACCAATTTTACTGCCTCCGAGGTTGAGAACTCACCACCTTTAACTCACCACATTTGGACAAAATTCTAAATAGTGAAGAATTCAACTAAATCTGATGATTAGGACACCATGTGCCTTTTTACAAGAATTTCCCTCATTTCTTCTTTTTTGGAGAATACAAATTTTGCCTTTTAAGACATGCACTGTTTTTATGCTTACCAGCT